TTTTTAATCTAGATGTTGATTGGAGTACTTTTTTTTTAATCTTAATATTAATATATTAATGCTTCAAAAACTTCCCAAAAAGTTATAAGATTATCATAATTTGGACTTTCGTTAAGTCTTCTGTTAGGTCAGTTAATGATAAGATAACCATATTTTTTCAACAAACATACATAATTTCAGACACATAAGTCATACTTTAAAAAAAACCAATGATAATAAAAGTATAAAATTTCATAATATAAGTATAATTTTATTTAAGAATGTATAATTATCTAATGGTTTAGGTAATCTTATAATAAAATTTTTTTTTATTTTTTTTCATTATACTAGAGAAATATGTATTAGTCAAAAGGTATTTAAACATAAAGAAAGAAATTAAAAAATATATATGTATATATTTGGCTTGTGAGGTGAAAAGATGCTTGAAGCACACACTTTTTTTATGTTCCTAAGGCATTGGAATAAACATGGGATATATGCTCTAATAATCTAAAACTCATAACAAATCACAACCATCAAATTACATATTGATTGAAATGACTTTATTGTTCCTAATGAGTGTATAGCAAATTTCCTTTTTTTTTTTTTTTTAATAACATAATATCTCATAGCCAAATTCACTTTTTACTCTTTGAGATACCAAATTAGTTGTTGCCCAATTGAAAATGGGGTCTTTATTTTTCTCTTGTTTTCTATGCTTTTGAGTGGGAGCCACTAAACTATTTGATTGCCACTCATTATATGCAATTTCACTCTATGCACTTTGAAATTTTACTACTAAATTGCCTAACACAAAATTTTTATTTTTATTTTTTTCATGTTACTAATGTCTTTGCTATAGAAAATCCAATATTAGAACTTGACTTTTATTTTATATTTTTACCTATTGTTTTTTCTCTTATCTCTCTTCCAAATTTTCCTCATCATCATGTTATGAATAAGGACAAATGTGCTTTAGACTTTCTTTACCAATAATACCCAACAATGACTTGGTGAAATCAATCACATTCCTCCTTTTGACTATATAATCGACCTATTGGACTATTTGAACAAAAAGTATATATTTATAGCGTCGTATCTTTTTATATTCTTTATTAAAATACGATATTTCGATGTAAAAGTATGACCATTTACTAAACAATTATGATTATCCAATGGTTAAACATGTCGAATAACAATGAAATCGAAGACCGATTTGTAATATAATATGCATGTGCATGTAGCTAGTTCTAGGTTTTAGTTTTGTTTGGGTTCTAATAAACAAATTAGGCTAGTTTTATAGCTTAAAACTATTTTTAAATTGGATTATTAGGATTTTACCTTGTATCTTTATATTTCCAATGTGTTCAATCACGGAATTCGATTTTGCTATGAAACCAACCTTCTATATAATGCAGCATTAGATTTTGAATAAATACATCACATCTTTTTTCATTTTAATTAGAAAAGTTGTGTTCTCATGACCAAATAAAAAAAATAAAAAATAAAATTGGGGTTAACTAAGGCAAGTGGGGTATGATTATTTTTCATCAAGCATCTTTAGGGAATTTTATTTTTGGTTTTTTATTCTTTTTACTTGAAACAAGGGTGCAGAAGATATTGGGATTTAAAGAATATTTGTGTGTCTTTATTCTAAGAAGCCATCAAGCCAAGTTGTTGCCCCATTTTCTTGGCTCTTTCTCCAAATGAAATAAAATAAAGGTAAAAAAAAAAAAATAGTGCATTTTACATTTGTTTTTTTTTTTTTTTTTTTTTTTTTTTTTTTTTTTTTTTTTCTAGTTGAACTGTTTAAGTGCTTGTCAATTTTGTGATGCTGTAAATTTTTTTTAACTGTTTTACTATTACTTTTGAGTGTCACTACATAGAGATGGCCAGTTAACGGGCCGGGCCGACAGACCTCCCGTGGGTGACCCTTATTCGGCCCGCCAAAAATCAAAGGGTTGGGCCTATAAATCGGCCCGGTCCTGACCTGACGGGACTAAAAATAGAAAAATCGGACCCTGAAACAATTCGTAAAGCCACGGTGACGGTTCTCAGAACAGCCAATCTTGGGCCGATTGCAGGCCGGGCTGGGACCACGAGCCGGACCGGCCTGTGGCCATGTCTAATGTGCCACTACAGATTTGCAAGGAGTCTGTTTGGCTATATTTACAACATCAAATGTTGTACAAGTAAAATAATATGCTTTTTAAATTAAATTTTATTTCACACCTAGATGGCTAGAACCTTCTTAAGCTTCATCTTCTTGTTAATTTCTGTTTGATTAAAAGATAAATAAACAATTAAATAAATATATAAGTAAATAATTTAATTTTCAATTGATGAATACATGGTAATATAAATAAATTAAATATATGTATATCAGTGTATTTTTTTATTTATTTATTTATTTTTTTTTTTTGGTACTTTTGTACCAAACGAGATTGCCCCCCGCACCGCACGTGACTACGTGAGCGTCTTCGGCTAGATTTCTGACCACCCACAATGTTAAATGTTAATTAATGTGTTACTCTTCTCCTAACATAATGTTTAATAAAAATAATTTGTACATTAATTTATATATTACTCTTTTCCTAAAATAATATTACCTCCTATTTTTAATATATGTCGTTTTGAGAAATTGCACATTAATTAAAAATATTTTTTTTGTCAGTAATAACGTTATTTAATGAAGATAAAGATAACTGTTTTGAAAAAAGTAAAAAATGAATATGAAAAGACACAATGTATTTATTGGCTAAATGAAGGTAATAATGGAAAAACGTGTACAAAATATCCAAAACGACATTTATTTTGACAAATATTTGAAAAAGCTAGAATGACATTAAAAAAATAGGAGGGAGTATTAAATAAAATAATTTTATGTATCGATACAAATTTGATTAATCTATTATTATATAGCTTCTAATTTTGTTGTGATATTTAAATTATAAATAAAACTTTATTATTTTTTTTAATAAATTGTGATTTTATTTTTATATGATTTATATTTATAAAAAATAGATATATTTTTTATTTTATATATGCATTATGTATGTCAAATTAAATATTAGTAAAATGCAATTATATGACATGATATATTAAAATTAATAACAAATAAAAAATTATTAAGTTTTAAAATATATTTTCAATTAAATGGATCAAGTGTGTCTATTAGACATTTATGAATAAAAGCTCAAAATTTCCATAAATTACAAGTAAACCTCATAGGATATAAATTGGCCTTGATAATTTTTTAATCTAAAAAATCAAATCAAATTAACACAATCAATACAAATAAATAATATTAATCAATCGGTACACATATTACAACATTTCTAATCTACTATTCATTCACATCACAACATTTCTAATCTACTATTTACTCAGGTGCGTAGTTTTAAGTATTCACCATTCTCAATCATATCTATCCTACATATGTGTCTAAGTATTCACCATTCTCAATCATATCTATCCTACATATGTGTCAACGACATTTCTAATTTTCTAATCTACTATTCATTCACGTAGTTTTAAGTATTCACCATTCTCAATCATATCTATCCTACATATGTGTCAACGACATTTCTAATCTTCTAATCTACTATTCATTCACGTGCATAGTTTTAAGTATTCACCATTCTCAATCATATCTATCCTACATGTGTCAACAATATTTCTAATCTACTATTCATTCACGTGCTTAATTTTAAGTATTCATCATTCTCAATCATATCTATCCTACATTTACGTTATATCAGCTTTGTTTTATCAACTTTGTTTTAATACATTTACGTTATATCAACTTTAATTGTTATATTGTAAATATTACTTAAATACAAACAAGAAAACCCACTCAAATCAAAACTCGATCTTTTCTTTTTTTTTTTTTTTTCAAAATTACCTCATGGTATTCAATAACTTGCTCAAACATAATATTAACTCAAAAAATAAAAATTCAATTTTTAAGTCATCACATAGTATTCATTAACTCATATATTTATAAGGCAAAGGTACAAAAAAACAAAGACTACATAATAATAAATAAACATAGCAAAAAGGAAAATAGCATCAAAAACATTATTCCATAATTTAATATCACATTATACCAATTTAGAATTACATAGTTTAAGGTTCTTTTGGAACCAGTTTCATAACATAACAAGCCAACCTCAAAAGTCTCACACTGTTTTATTTATTTCAAATTTACCAATATAGCCTTACCAAATACCACTACATTAATCTAATTATTAGCACAAACCCAAAAAAAAAAAAAAAGTACTAAAATAATCGCACAAACCCAAAATTCATTAGTACAGAAACCCAGGATCCGCCGGAGCCGCCCCCATCATAATCGGCTGGCTCGAGCAATTCCATAACCCTCCACCGCCGCCGAACACCGCCAGCTCGGACATCCCATACGCCGGCGCCGCCGCGAAAGCCACCCCGAGATCTCCTCCGCCGAGGAACCCCAAAATCTCCTCCAGCGACCGCAGCCGGTGGCTCAGCTCCGCCATCTGCGCCCTGAGCACGGCGTTCTCCGACTCCACGCCGGCGAAATTCTGCGCGGCGGCGTTCAGACCGGCGAGGATCCGGCTGTTATCCTCCCTCAGCTCCGCCACCTGCGCCACCAAATCGTCCAAATGCTTCTGCTTCCTCGCCCTGCTCCGACGCGCCGAGTCCCGATTCGAGATCATCCTCTTCCTCTTCCTCTGATCCACCGCGTTCTCCGACGACGCACCGCCGCTCGACGAATCCATGGCAAAATCCGGCAAATCAGCACAAACACAGGTTTCCCCCTTCTTAATTTACTTCAGTTTTTTGTTTTTCTTTCGAATTTAAGTTCGTAATTATATTATTTTATTTAAATTACAGCTGCTAAATCTAGACGAAAAAATCGAAAAAGGGGGCAAAATAATCATGAAATGTAATAGAACCAGTAAAGGAAAACAACTGAGAATGATTGAACAAGATGAGTCCTAAGCCTGTAGGTTGAATTTAACTTTAACATAAAACCCCAGAGCAAGAGCTCACTCAGAATAGCAGACATGAATAATAAAAATCAAATTTGCTGAGAAGTTGAACATTAAGATTGGCTTTGAATTTTCAACTCAAGCCAAACAGGGTCTAAGCTAATTATCTATTTATTTAAAAAATAAAAATAAATTAATGGTGCTTAAAAGCAGAGGGAGAGAGAGGAAGGGGAAGAGAAAGATGGTGGTTTGGGTGTGTTTTATAGAGCCAAAAAGATAAATGCGGGGACATTTTGGGGGAGAAAGGGAAAAAAATGAAACACAACTTTTTTGTGACTTAAAATATTGTAATGGTTAAAATATTTTATACTATTAAATGATACTATGTTTTATTTTATTAAAATTATTGTTAGGTATTTTTTATTATTGGAAAATGTTAGGGTCTCATTACGGAACCATTCTGTCGGGTTTGTAATTGTTAAATCATCATGTAACTGTTCGGGATACTTGATCTAACGGTTAGAAACCCGGACGGAATAGTTTCGTAACGAGACTATATCATCTCTCTTTATTATTAGAGAGCCACAAATGTCTTACCTCATAAATAATATAAACAAATGTATACTTTTAAATTGAAGTAGTTATTATAAATGAAAATTTTATATTTCAAAGAAGAACTATTTAATTTTAGGCTAAATTGCATTTTTAGTCATGTAATGTAATATTTTGCTGCAATTTTAATCACTTGAGATTTTTGAAATTGCAGCAAATTGCTAAATTTATATTTTTTAGATGAATTTTATATGAGCAATTTAAGTCATGTCATTTAATAATTTGTTGCAATTTGATCCCTTAAACGACTAAAATTGCAGTAAAATATTACATCATATGACAAAATGCGAAAAATTGAAATTATGGAAGTGAAATTGTTATGTTGTTTAATCGACGAGACTAAAGATGTATTTTTGCCTTAATTTTATTATACACTTCTTATGATAATTTGTATTTTATATTTTTTAATGGAGATGTGTATATTAGTGAAAAATATTATAGATAAATAAAATCAAGGACAATTTTTTGTGTTAATTTTTGTTTTATTTTTTGAGTTTTTAAGAATAATGTGGAGAGTCTTGGAATGTAGTTGAAGTTGTTGTAATGTGGGGTAGTGAGTGATGGGACATGTGGAGCGAAGTCGCTGAAGTGTGTGCAAGCGTCTAGAATAGCATAATACAGCTGGGGAGCAACAGGGTTTATAATTTTTTTTATTATTTATTTATTATTTATTTATTTATTTATTTATTTATTTATTTATTTATTTATTATTTATTTATTTTTACAAAAAGATAATTATAAGTGTATGATATGTAGTTATTTATTTAATCTGAATTTTGAAATTAAATTTCAAAGCTTGTAGTTTGCAGTTTAATCTAAGTTTTATTATAAGTTTCACATGTACGGTAGCATATTTTTTTTAACTATCAATTAATTTAATTGCTGATACAGTTATTTGGTCAAAATCAAATACACGGGAGCTACAAAAAAATATCATTAAAAAAAGTTGTAATTCTTGCAATTTCATAACGATTAAACATTCGTCTTTGTGAATTAGTAAATTAATATTATTGAATTTGTAGTCAGTAAAGTATGTAATTGTTATTATAATCTAATTAGGAGTTGAATGTAAACATGATTGTATTATTAATTTAATAAAAATAAGTTCGATCTTTGGAATTGATACGATCAAATAAAACTACATCGGCATATAGTCTATGAATGTACACAAAATTACAATATTGAAGTACCATAATAAAAAATAAATAAAAAATTAAATTCAAATTGTACGGTCTACATATTTTTTTAAATTATCAATTAATTTAATTAAATACTATAAAAATTTAAATACAAATTGTGCGGTCAGCATATTTTTTAATTATCAATAAATCTAATTAAATATGAAATTAAAATCCAAATGTACGGTCTGCATTTTTTTTTTTAATTATCAATTTTATGTTATAAAAAAATCTGAGATTACACACTATTTCACGAACTTACGTGATGATGTACGACTCCGAGGGACCATATTCCACGAATTGGGCATTCACTTTAAAATCGAAACACACTTTTTTACAAAGCTACGTGTTGCCTAGTAAATTCGTAAAAAGATTTTCCTCATCACTTTTGACAACTTAACTACGGTTATGTTGACTTATAAACTTATTTGATTAGCGTCTAAGCTTCTTATACTCAAATAAGTCTCGTTTGATAGGATGAGTTTTTTTAAAAAGCTCGAACTTATTTGATAAGTTTTTTTAGTTAGCTTTTTAAAATAAACTAGTTGAATTTTTTATTCCAACTAGCTTATCAGCTAGTGTTACGAAAGATCGCCTACACATTTTTTCTTATTTTATATTCATTTCATAATCATAAAAAAATTACTATTATTTTACCTAAAATATTATATATGTGGCATGTAGGCTAATATATTTATATTTGATATATATGTTTGATTAGCTAAAATAATTCAATTAAATGGTAGTCGTGTCAGTTCGAGATGCAGCATGGTTTCATTCTTTTGTTCGAGGATCAATTCTTAGAACAATGTTTTTTTTTTTA